CTTGCACCCGCTGCCGTGCCCCGTGCCCGCTCTCCATCTGTCCGGCCATGTGGCCACGGCATCCCTTCCTGTCACGCCTCGCCACTCCATGCCTCCACTTCCGTCCCGACATCCCGCCAACATCACATCCGCCCTCCCTCCCTCCCAACATCTGCAGCATACTTGTACAACATCACGGCAGCAATACACGAAGGCGACATGCCGGACCGTGCGACCGCGACGCATGCGGCGGTCATGCAATTGTGGATCGCGGCTGCCGGCAGCCTGCGAGCAGATACCGCCATAGAGCTCATTTATGACTATGGCATGGACGCGGGCACCGTCCTCAAGACGGACCAGGAGTTCGCGCGCTCGGTGCTGACGGCCGCGCAGCAGGCGCGAGCGTCGGGCGCCCTCCTGACCACAACCACGCCAGCCAAGCGAGCCGCAAGCAGCCCCGCCGAGCCAGATTCAAGTGCCTCCCCCCGCACGTGACTGTATACCATCACGTGCGCTCCCACCGGCAGAGTGTATGTCGGCCAGTCACAGGACCCTCAACGCCGCTTCCAGGCTCATGCCCGCAACCCACCCAGCCGGATGAAGGAGGACGCCAGCCGCTACCAACCCTTCCATGACCACTTCTCGCTCACGCGCCTCATGTCCACCGCCAATCCTGCACTGGCCCAACGGATGGAGGCCTTCTACATCGCGCAGTTCAAGGCTCGGGGGCCAGGCGGCTACAATGTGCTGTGCGGGCCGCCTTCCGCCAGCCCGGCCTTCTACGCGATGAGGCGGCAACGCGCGGGCAGCGCACACACGCCCACCGCCGTCACGGTCCAAGACAATGACGATGACGCCCCAGACACGCTCGCCTAGCCCTCACAGCACCTACACGCCTCACGCTTGACGGAGTGGGTCCCGCGTATTCAGCGCGAGGCTTCCCCACCTTGACCAGTGCTGTTTCATTAGGGCACGATCGCCCTTGGGCCGTCATTCACGGTGCATACTTGTCCGACCTTAACTCGTGTGTGAACGGAAGCTGCTGCCCTTACGGACGGCAGCGCGTGGGATGGTCTATTGCGTGAGGTTTGAGGATAGGGGGGGGCTCCTTGCGCTCCATCGCATGTCCGCTCTTCGAGTGCTCGGGGGGAACTTGGCAGCGTGTAAAACACCCATCATGTTCACTGTTCTGGCGTGGCCATCCACGGGCCACATCGATCTTCACTCTAACACTTCTCCTTTATTCCTCCTTCTTAGCACGGAAACCACGTCACGTGTCCTGTGCGCGCGCTGTTGCTGTGCTGCTGTTCTTGGTCTTCTGGTTGTGGTTCCTGTGCTTCTAGCAAACTCGCGCCAGTGCTGTTTCATTTGGGCACGATCGCCCTTAGGCCTTCGTTCACGGTGCATACATGTCCGACCTTAACCCGTGTGTGAACGGCAGCTGCTGCCCTTACGGACGGCAGCGCTTGGTATGGACTATTGCGTGAGGTTTGAGGGATAGCGGGGGGGCCCGTTGCGCTGCTTTGTATGTCCGCTCTTGGAGTGCTCGGAAGCAAATTGGCAGCGTGCAAAGCACCCATCATGTTGCCTGTCGTGGCATGGACATCCGCGCGCAACAAGGATCGCCACTCTAGGACTACTCCTTTGTTCCTCCTTCATTGCACAGACACGACGCGACGTGTCCTGTGCGCGCGCTGTTGCTGTGCTGCTGTTCTTCTTCTTCTGGTTGTGGTTCCTGTGCTTCTAGCAAACTTGCGCCCGCAACGACATCTTGCAATGTACTTGCAGTTTGCCGTGCGCCAATCGCCATGTAAGCCTCGTATGCAAGCCTCACAATTCATTCTCCTGCTGCACTCGCCTCGCCAGCCTGGCCCCATTCCGTTCCTAGCACATGTCCTTGCACACCTTACGATCATCCAACTTACAGCCTTTGGAAACGCGGGCAGCTGCTTCACAAGGACCCCCCTCGTTTAAGCAGCCCCTCGCACAAATGTGTCCGGTCGTACTCTGCCGAATAGACCCTCCGTACATCGTCCCCAAAGCCAGGAGCGAATTTTGCCTCGCGGATGCGCACGTGCGTTTCGAAAAATGCGCCTGTACAAGTGTATGTAAATTTTCTTGGCGAAAAGTCGTGGTGTGTCAGCGCGCTTGTGCGGCAGCATGTTGGCCACAGTTGCACGCGGCAAGCAGGACCGTAGGAATGTATGGCTGTCTTGACGTAACTGAAAGCATATAACTTGGTATCAACACGCGCTCATGGAATGGCCGCGGAAGATGAAGCGCCTGGCGAAGCGGCACTTTTCGAAAAGACGTGGCGCCTGCTTACATACGCAAACAGCATCTTTTTTCGTCTGAAGTCAAAATACAAACTGTCGCAAATTAAAGATAGCATACACAAAATTAAACATAAGAACTGGAAAATCGGTCACAGCTGTGTAACTGAAATGGACGCCGCAGAAAACTTGGAGCAGGTTTTTTCTGTGCATATGGCCGCTCCTGCGTTCTGTGCATATGGCCGCTCCTTGGACGCCATTGACCAACTGCGGATAGGCCTAGTGGATGTTGGACTTGGCTTCTTTTCAGCAGCGTTTGGATTTGTTGCCGGTAAGTACTTGGCATACCGTGCCAAGTGCCTCTTCAGTGTGTGGACATTGTGCAAGCCGTACTTGCTGCTCATGTATGTTCTTCGCCAGAGCGCCCGGCTGCAAGAGCAGAATACAGAGGTCAGTGCATAGCGAGCATGCTAGTGATGCTGCAAACGATGCATGCTGGGATGTTGGACACGGATCCCGCCGATGCCAAGCAGCAACATGCATGTACTACTTCAGGACATGACCATCATGCCCGCCTGCATGTACAGGCTGTGCTGGAAAGGGCGCTCCTCGACTACAAGTCTCAGAACCCTAACGCGAGTGATGAGGATGCCATCCATCACATTCTCAAGCACAAGCTGCCGGCAACATTGCCCAACACGCCTGCATGGCACCGCAGCAACCTCCAAGATTTGTTGTGCATGGTGGACCGCTTTGGCATGCCGTCGTTCTTCCTCACGCTTACAACCGATGAAGTGTCTGCCACACGCTGGCCCGAAGTGCAGTCGCTGGAGCAAAAGCTGCAGGAGTAAGCCGCACGCACTTTAATCTGCATCACTTGGCAAGCATCCTTGCATGGCGCTGACCGCCTCCTGTCCCTGCCCAGCATGGCAGTCAGTCACCCATCACCCAGATATGCACTGCTCTGGCTGTGCTGTGCCATTGTCCATTGCCTGCAGCTTCTGTG